TGTGTGTTGTCTCTGGGATACACACTCAGCTTCAGGGTTGATCCCACAGCAGGCACATCCACTGCCCGGGAAGGAGACCCTGGGCCTTGTGGCATCCCAGCCTGGGCTCCAGCAGCCACGTGGGAGCATCCCCAGGGCCGGAGCTGCTGCAGAGCCTCTTACAGGAGCCTGGGGCCTCTCACAACAAACCTTAGGGAACGTTTCCTTTCTTCCCCCACAGCCATGGCTTCGCAGGACAACACCCAAGAGGGGCATGGAGAGGCACAGCTCCTGGCAGAGGCACTTCAGAAGGAAGGACTGGAGGCTGCATACTGGCTCCCCAAACTCTCCCAGACCCTGGGAGTCCAGTGCACACAAGCCCTGCAACACCTGCAATATGAAGACTACCTTACGTTGGAGCGCCAAGTGCGGCACCCCTGGGAGAAAAGGGCACTCCAGAAACTCCTGAAAATAAGAGATGACAAAGCAACTTCTGAGGAACAAGAAAAGCAGCACTTGGAGAGGACAAAGCAGAGACAAGGAGTGGCCAAGCAAGTCCTGAAGGAGCTGAAAGAAATGCTCGACAGCCACAGCCACAGCCAGGATGCTGTAAGGCAGATAGCAGAGGCTCTATGGGAATCCATGGAGATTCCCAAGGAGTTCTGGCCAGCACCAAAGCCCTTGGCAGATGTGCTGGAGAGCATCCAGAAGCAGCTGGAGCAGCAGGAGTCGTCAGCGGGCAGGAGGGAGAACATCCCCGACACGGAGGTGCTGAGGCGGGCGTCGGGGGGACTGGCCCTGCAGGGCATCTACAGAACCAGCCAGGCTGAAGATGTGCTGGCAAAGCGAGAGCAGCTCCTCAGGGTCCCTGAGGGATTCCAGCTCGCCGGTCCAAAGCAAGGATCGCTGTTTGAGAGCAAGGAGTTCTCCTCCAGTGCAGCAGAATCCACTTTCACCAGGTCCATGGAGCAGCTGGGCTTCAGCATCAGCGTTTCTGCCAAAGCCGGGTTCTGGGGAGTTAAATTGGAAGCTGGTGCAGATCACAGCAGCTCCTCACAGGCACAGGGCACCCACCAGTCCCACTCTGAGCAGAGCTACTTTTGCACCACCAAGTACCAGTACATCCCTCTGGCCTCCTGCTACTTCCAAAGGAACCAGCTTCTCCTCTCGGATGGGGCCCTGCGGGAGCTGCAACACATGGAGCAGCTTTTGAGCCTCACTCGGGAAGAAGAGCAGCCCAACCTGCTGGAGAGCTTCTTCAGCAGGTTTGGGTCCCACGTCAGCCAGGGTCCCCTCCACTTTGGGGGGATATTCTGGTGGAAGGCGTCTACAGGAGGATTCAGAGCCGAGCAGAGGGAGGAGATGAAGCGACAAACATCTGAAGCCCTGAACACCTTTGTTGGGGCCAGTTTCAGTGGCTTCGGGGCCAGTGCAGGAGGGGCCACAGATGTTTCCCGGTCCAGCTCACAGGCTTCTGTCCAGGGCAGAGCTGGAGAGAGCTCCCACACAGAGATTCAGTGTCAGGTGTTCACCACAGGGGGCCCTTCAGAGACCAATTCTCTCCCTCAGTGGAAAACAGGGCTTGTATCCAATAACTCAACGTGGTGCGTTATCGACCGCGGCTTCCAGCTGATCCCGGTGTGGGAGGTCATCCTGTGCAATCACAGCAGGGATTTTCAGTCTGTCCATGGAATGAGCCGCGCCCTCAGGGCTGCGTACAAAGCGCTGACAAATCAGAGCGTCGGCAGCGCTTTTGGGGAGGAACTGGCCAGTGCAGTGGAAGAGGCCAGAGAGTTCATGGAGATTGTGAAGACCTGGGAGGGGACAGTGGATGAAAAGAAACTGCTCACGCTGATGGATCTGAAACAGGATCTGAGTGCAAAAACCAAGGACCCCAGAGTCTGGATCAACGTGTGCCTGTCAGACAAAGCCCTGCAGGACTTCCTGGTGAACACCGTGAGGAGTTGCCAGGAGTCACCTCCAGAAAACTCCACCTCTCTCAAGGCAATCTTGAGGAGCCTCCTGGATCCTCATATCTATTCTGTCAGGGACTTCCCTGAGTCTTCCTTCATTATGCAATGGATCTTCCAGACTGACCACAGGCTTCCCAAAACTCCCAATGTCTCTGAACTTGAAGAGCTCCTGCAGACACTGCAGCAAATGATGGAGCACATCCATGCTGTCACCTACGCACCAGGAACCTCTGCTTCTGCCGTCCAGGAAGCAAAGAGAGAAGCCACCCTGACCACAGGCCTCGCAATTCATTCCTTACTGCGGTCTCTCCAGGAAAGGGCTCAGAAGGACATGGAACTCTTGGTGCTCTTAATTGCAACCAGCACAGGGTACCAGGTGGGAAGCAGCACTTTCCAGCACCTCCTTGGCCATGCAGAAATTCAGTACCTGGCCCAGGCAATGGCAGCGGCACACGAGCAGTACGTGACTCTGAAGGAGCAAGATGCTGCCAGAGCTGAGGCCTCCCTTCTGCTGACGGCTCTGACCGTGACACCCCAAAGCAAAGAGCTGTCCCCAGAGCAGAAGAGGGAGCGGTTGCTTTTCATGGAAGGTCACATGGAAGGCTTGTGGGCCACAGGGACAAAGAATCTCCTCCAGAAGCACAGGGAGTGCCCAGACTGGGAGATGCTGGAACATGAGTTGAATTCCTTCATCGGTGGGAGCTTGGAGGAAACAGGGGATGATGTGAGGATGCAGAACATACTCAAAGACATGGAAGACACTTTCCAAACAACTGAGCCTTCCAGTCCCTCCAAATCCGAGTCAGGTGCCAGCGAATCCAAAGCCAATGAAGCCACTGCAAACCAAGAGTTCCTCCAGTTGCTCAAGCGCCTTGGACTAGAAAGTCACTATCCAAGAAAAATGGGCACGGGACATTTCCACAGCATCTGCAAGACATCTCTGCATGACAGCCAGCCCGGCAAGGACCAGGAACTGCCATTTCTCTTCCTGCAGAAGCTCTTAACCGTGGACTATCGGGTGAGGTACCTGACTTGTGGGGATGGGAGCAACCCAGGACTTGCCCCTGTGCCAGAAACCACAGAGCAAGAGCACAAACCCTCAGACTCCTTTGAAAGCTTTCTCCACCATTTGAAGGAAGCAGCCCCTCGACCTGCAACCAGTGATGGCCACGTGCACCCCATGGACCTCCAGATGGCAATTTTCCACTGTGCTGATAACTTCATGAGACAGTCCATTGCAACCAAGCTGGCCTTCTGCCAACTGGCACTGCCCCTGCTGGTGCCCAAGCCGGGCACTGCCCAGATCGAGTTCCCGCTCTGGGCCCTCAGCCAAATCAAAAGGAGCTGGAAAGAGGCCGAGAAGTCGGGACAGCAGCCCAGGATGAACAGTCACAATAACAAACTCATCCATCAGGCAGAGACACCCATCGTGTCCTTCATCCGCATTGGCACCTCTGCCTCCTCTTCCAAGTCTCAGCTCCTCAATGCTCTGCTGAGCAAACAAAGACACGACACTTTTTTCCACCGCCATTGCCGAGGCAGCACCAGAGAGCGTTTGCTGATGGCAGGTGTTGTGGAGATCGCCTGGTACTGTCCCCGGGGAAGCCCCGATGACACCTTTGAGTGCTGTGTGGCTTTCTGTAACCTGCATGGAGACGCCAGGGACCACGGAGCGCAGCTGCAGTTCTTACAGGAGATCTCTGCTCTCAACGTGGCTCTTGTCTCCGACTCGGAGCGCATGGACGACAGAGGGACAAAGCTTCTGCGTGAGCTGTGGCAGTCACAAAGGCCTCTGGTTTGTCTTCTCACTGACAAAGAGAAGGTTGCAGCTGGACAATCCAGTAAAACTGTAACAATAGGGGTCAAGAACAGAAATGAAGCAGAGATGTTGGACGAGCTCACTAAAACAATCAGGAATCTCCTGGAAGGGTCCAACCCACGTTTCAGCCTGGACGCCTGCCTGGACAAAGCTCGCCAGCACGGATTCTTAGTGGATGAAGATCGACCCGAGTGTGTGACAGCCAAAGCAAAGGCAAAGGAGCTGGTGACACTTCTGAAGAAGGAGAAGCTGTCTGAGATCAAATCCCAGCTCCTGCCTCTTCAAGGAAAACTGTGGCACCAGTGGTGCCAAAAGGACAAAGAACTCACTCGCTTGCAGGAGAAGGGGGGCAAGAGCATTGAGCACCATCGGAGCCAAATTGAATCCGAGAAGGCAGCAATTAGAAGAAAGCAACTAGAGCGAGCCTTCCCCCTCAACCCGCTGATGAAACCATTCCTTGGCTTTCTCCAGTCACAGCCAGCAGATACCAAGAAATACTTCCTGCAGTGGATGAAGGTCTTTATGGACGACCTGTCCTCTGGTCACCTTGAGGAACTGAGGAGAGACTATCACAAGTTATGGTCTGAAATCCTGGAAAAAAAGAAAAGCAAGGAAAAAACCAATCCAAACCCTGAGTTGCTGAGTAGGTTGGAGGCCCTCTCTGATGAAATCAACGATTCATCTGTTGGCCTGGAGCATCTGTTGAGAGAGGTAGGGCAGATCTATGAAGCTCTGCACTTAAGGAACTCAAAGAATGAAAACATTGTCAAACTGCCCCAAATGGCAGCAGAGCTGATGGTTTTGGGGTATCCCGTGGAGCTGATGGATGGGGATGCTTCTTACCTGCCCCTGTGCTGGGTGGGAGCAATCTTTGACAGCCTCATTGAGAGGCTGGGGGACAAACGAGTGTTTGTTCTCTCCGTGCTCGGCATCCAGAGCACAGGGAAGTCAACCCTGCTGAATGCCATGTTTGGGCTGCAGTTCAACGTCAGCGCGGGGAGATGCACCCGGGGAGCGTTTATGCAGCTCCTGCCACTGGACGAGCAGCTGCAAGAGGACGTGGGCTTTGATTACATGCTGGTTGTTGACACAGAGGGCCTTCGTGCCATAGAGATGGCCAATAAACAGTCCCTGAACCATGACAACGAGCTGGCCACCTTTGTCATCGGCATCAGCAACATGACCCTGATCAACATCTTTGGGGAAAATCCCTCAGAAATGCAGGATGTTCTTCAGATCGCTGTGCAGGCTTTTCTGAGGATGAAGAAAGTAAATCTTTCCCCCGGCTGCCTCTTTGTCCACCAAAACGTGGGAGAAGTTACTGCCAAGGAGCAGAACATGGAAGGACAAAGACGTCTTCAGGAAAAGCTGGATGAAATGACCGTGGTAGCTGCCCAGCAGGAATGCTGTGACGTCTCCTCCTTCAGCGACGTCATCCGCTTTGACGTGAACACCCACATTCACTACTTTGCTCACCTGTGGGAAGGAAACCCCCCAATGGCACCACCCAACCCCACCTACAGCCACAACGTCCAGCAACTGAAGAGCAAAGTTCTCCAGGCTGCCAGGGAGTCCCAGGGCAGCATTTTGACGCTCTCCAGCCTGAAAGTCCGTATTGGTGACCTCTGGAATGCTTTGCTGAACGAGAACTTTGTTTTCAGCTTCAAGAATTCACTGGAGATTGCTGTCTACAGGAAACTGGAAACTGCCTTTAGTCAGTGGACCTGGAGGCTCAGGAGTCACATCTTAGACGTACAAATGAGACTCGACAACAGAATTCGGAACGGGGACTTGCAGCAAGTCACCAGAGAACACCTGGAAGGGCTCGTGCAAGAGACAAGTGATGCCATCGTGACAGACATGGAAAAGTATTTCAGGGAAGACAAACACTGTGAGATGCTGGTCCAGTGGAAAGGCAGCACAGAGCTGAAGCTGAAAGAACTAAAGGAGAACCTTGTTCTTGAAACTCGGAAGAAATGTGAGAATCTCATTGAACTGCAGAAGACCCAGAGTAAACTGGATGCAAGGAAGTCGGAATATGAAGACGAACTCCTGAGAAGGAGCAAGGAGTTGGCTCTGACTCTGAAAGGCAAGAGCCTCAGTCAGAGAGAACTAAGAGACAGCTTTACTTCTCTCTGGAACAGGTGGATTCCTAAAGTCTACCATGCTGCTCCCCCACTGGAACGGGTGGATATCGATGCGGAAATAGAAGATGTCCTTCTGGAGCGTTTTACGGAGCCTGGTTTCCATGCACGGATCAGGTCATTTCCAAAACACACAGGATTTTCCTTGGACTTGAAGAAACATGTCACAAAGGATTGGAAAACATACCTCCCATGGAATGCTTCCAATGCTGATGTGAACTTGCAGGATATCACAGACAACATCATATATCGTGTGTGGGCAAACATTGATAAGAAGGAACAGGAGAAACGGGATTACAGTCGAACCTTTATTCATGAAATACTCCATGAAGTACAGGAAGGTGTGAACAACGTCCCCAGCGATGCACCATTTAGTGTTAACAAAGATTACATCATAGATTTATCTCTGTACCTCTGCAGAACAGCAGCAGAAAGGTTTAAAGCCATGCACGAAGCATTCCAGAAGGCAAATGACCCAGTCACCTACCTAAACAACAAGAGAGAAGATTTCTTCACATGTTTCCAGATTTCCTGCCAAGGAGCCACTTCTGTCACAGCTTTTGCTGTTTTCCTTTGTGACAAGCTTGCCCCAGCTCTTCGCCGGGCCGTCTATGAGAGGACGGCTAAAGCCATCGCTGGGGATATGCAGAGGAAAGTCCCAGATTTCCAGGGCAACAGAGCCAGTCTGGATGTTTGTATCCTGAGATTCCTGGCACAGAAAGAAAAGTTTCACTATTTCAAGCAGTACCTTAAACACCCAGAAGAGTTTTTTCAGCGGTACATTGAGAGACATGTTGAGAGTTACTGTTTAGGTGAGAGCCGGAGGCTGGAGAACTTTTTAGATTCCTCCCTTGATGTTCTCTATGGAAACATCCTGTCAGCTGTTGCTTCATCAACCCAAAGGGTCAAAGACAGAAAAGACCGAAAGGACAAAATTTCTCTCTGGCTGGATGAATTTTGCAGGGAACTGACAGAGCTGATGAACTTGCCCAGAAGTGACCTGAAGGGCCTCGAGCATCAGGAGATCACAGACATTGAGTTCCTGAGCAAAGCCATGGCAGAAGCACTGCCTGCCATGAAGGACAAACTCAGGAAAGAATTTGCTGTTGCTGATCTGAGTTGTTTTGAAAGGAAGCCTCACACCATCCTGGCAGAGCAGTTTCGGGGGTGCTGGGCACAGTGTCCCTTTTGTGGGGCTGTCTGCACAAACACCATGCAAGGACACGATGGAGACCATCAGGTTCTCTTCCATCGACCAAAAGCTTTGAGGGGATGGAAGTGGCACAAAACAGATCACTTCGACATTGATATTTGTTCCAGCAGTGTTGCAAGTACCAATAATTTCTATATTGGTGAAATCAGATGGACCCCCTACAAGAGATACCGGGATGCAGGACCTCCTTTCTCCAATTGGAACATTCTTCCTGATCCATCCACGCAAGCCTACTGGAAATGGTTTGTGTCTCATTTCAGGACCGATATAGAAACCTGGCACGGTAAAAAATTTCAAGGCAAAGGAGAAATCCCTGAGGCCTGGCAGAGAATTACCAAGCAGGAAGCACTTGCTGAGCTGGACAAGCCTTAGGCCACGTCGCTGGAAGGAAGATGAAAGAACATGAAGGAAGAACCTCCACAGCTTTGCAGTTGAGCAGAACAGAGTACAAGGCTGTCCACAAAATGCTGTTTCAATGCTTGTGCTCTCAAGCCCCATGAAGACAATGGGATCCAACTGCTCACAAACTGGGTGAAATAAGGCGCGTTACTCCGGCCGTCGCTCAGAAACTCCCTCGCTTCCTGATCAGCCACAATCCTCTTCCCTTCCTGCCATAAACATTTCCCTCTGCTTTGTCCTTGAGCAAAAGTATAAAAACCCTCCCAGGGCTGCTCAGTCCCATGGCCAAGATGGAGCCCAAGTGCCAGGGGAAGGGCAAAGGCAGCACAAGAAAGCCCCAGTTGGATGAGCTGCTCTGAGGAAATAAGGGGCAGTGAGCAAAGCCCAGCTTTCCTGCAGCACTGCAATCCCAGCACAAAGGGGGAACACTGTGGTACTGGGAAGATCATGGGACCCTCCAGTACCTGTCAGCCGAGGGACAATCCAGGTGTTCTGCTGCAGAGCCAACAACCACGTCGAACCCCCTCCTCAGGTGCCAAGCCACGACCCCCCCTCCCGTTAGGTACAGCAAGAGAACTTTACACCAACCAGAAACAAAAGGTAATTACGACTGAAGCCACTCCAGCTCCACCTAAACACAAGAATTTGTATAAAAGTAAGTTGGGATAGGGGGGAAATTGAGGAAGACTCCCCCGAACCTGCTGGGATCAGCTGAGGGGTTGAACCTGCCTCCCCCCCACCCCAGGATGGGGTGAGAAATACACTCTGGGCAGGTTCAACGCTGCTTTAAGGAGCAGAGCTTTGGTCGGGCTCCCCTCAGAGGATTTGGCAGATTGCTTCGTGTTCCACCTTGGCCTTGCTTCCCAGAGCCCAGATTGCTTTCAAACACAGTTTTGCAGCCAGACGCTGCCGCCAACGCCCACGAACCTTATTAACCTGTCCCAGGCGGTGCTAATAAAGAGTGTGATTCCAGGAACTGGGAGAGGAGTCCTTTCAGTCGCCAGCAGCAGGTCCCACCTTGGCAGGGGCAGGGCCGGCTGAGGCAGTGCTTTAACTCCCTGCTCCGGAGGGCCCTGCGTGTGCCCAGGGCAGCCGTCCCTGCTCAGGGGCCTGGGCCTGCTGCACTTCCCTCCAGCTCTCAGCCCCACCGGCAGCTGCTCCTGCCCTTGGCCTGGCTGTTGAGCAAAAGCCTTTGCCGTGCCCCCTGTGCAGGATCCCGTGGCCCAGCAGCTTCCTCCCAGCCCCCGGGACAGCGCTGGTGCTGTCCAGGCAGCCTGGGGGCACCGGAGCCGCGCTCTGGAGGAGCTGGGACCAGCTGGGGCTGCCCCAGGGACGGCCGTGGGGGTTGGAACTGAGGTGGCAGTGCCCCTGCCGGGCTGCCAGGGAGCCAGGAGGGAAAGCAAAGAGCTGCTGGCGGGGGGTGGGACTGGAAAGCCCAGCAGGGACTGCCCGGGGGGTCTGTCTGATGCACACGCTGGGAAAGAGGGGGCTGGGCAAGGCAGGGGACGGGGCTGGGCTGACAGGCTGGGAGGAGGCCGGGATGGGGCTGGAAGGGGAGAGGGGCAGATCTGAGTGGACCAACTCGGATTTCTTTCCCTTCTCCCCTTTACTTTCTTTTCCTTCCCTGCTCCTTCTGCCTCCCTCTGCTCAGGAGCCAGGCTGGGAGAGCTGGGGGTGCTCCCCTGGAGAAGAGAAGGATCCAGGGAGACCTGAGAGCCCCTTCCAGAGCATAAAGGGGCTCCAGGAGAGCTGGAGAGGGACTGGGGACAAGGGCTGGAGGGACAGGACACAGGGAATGGCTTCCCACTGCCAGAAGGCAAGGAGAGATGGCAGACTGTGAAGGAATTCTTCCCTGGAACGGTGGGGAGGGGCTGGGTTGGGATTCCCAGAGAAAAGCTGTAGCTGCCTCTGGGTCCCTGGGAGTGTTCAAGGCCAGGCTGGACAAGGCTTGGAGCAACCTGGGATACTGCAAAGTAAGGGGAGTGGAACTAAAGGTTCTTTAAGGTCCCTTCCTACCCACCACACCAGTCCATAATTCTAGGATTCACCTTCTCCAGACAAGGGATGTGTTGCACAACAATGGACTTCTGTGGGAATTTTAAGTAGAGGAATGTATCTCACAGAGGAATATTTTTACATGTCCTATACATGACAGAAAATGCAGAAATCACTGCTCCAGGCCACAGGTTTGTCAGAAATGAAAACTTCAGGACCAGTTCTGTGAGTGTAAGAAACAGGCACCTGATAACTGCATTTATGCTCGATCCCACAGTCAGTCCAACAGATCACGGTACCTGAATCACACTGAGGAGCCTCTCTGGGCAACTCCCACTTTCCTGGGCTCAGTTCCTTCTCCAAACATTTAACCGACAACCTAAAGAGACGGGATAAAAATGAAGTTTGTCTGTTTGGTTTTTCCTCCAAGAAAGCAGCGGTTTTCCACAGAAAAATTACATTCCCCCGTATTTCTCAGGCACAACACGGTGCTGCTTTTGCCCTGGTAATGTCTCCCGCTAATCCCAAGCGCTGGAGCCGCACCCTCCGTGTCCCAGCAGCAGCTGTTCTGGAGCAGAGCGCAGCCCGGCCCGGCCCAGCCCCGCTGCCCGCACAGCCCGGGGCCGCTGCGCGCCGGGGCTCCCCCACGGGCCCCGCGGCCCGGCCCGGCCCCCGCTGGACGCTTCCCCCGGGCCCAGCCCGGCGCCCCCGAGCTCCCACCTGTCCCGGGCCGCAGTCGGGGGGTCCCGGCGTGTCCGGGTGGCTCCAGGGCCGGCGGGGCCGCCTCAGCCCCGGTCGCGCTCCAACGGTCCCCCTGAGGGGCTCGGGGCGGCCTGAGAGTCACAGCGTGCCCCGAGAACCGTCCCCTCACAGCCGAGAGACACAGCCCGCCCTCACAACCCTCCCCTCTCCCCTCACACACACAGCCCGCCCTCACAACCGTCCCCTCACCCCTCACACACACAGCCCGCCCTCACAACCGTCCCCTCTCCCCTCACACACACAGCCCGACTCACAACCGTCCCCTCACAGCTCCATCCACAGCCAGCCCTCAGTCCAGCCCCTCAGCTCCAGCCCCTCAGCACTCTACCAGTCCCCTCTCAAGCTCAGCCCTGGGGCAGTTCAGCACTCTCGGGCTCTAGTGCTGGGATTAGACCTTCAACAGCTTTACTGAAGCTGCAATCCCGTGTGCTCCTTCTGGATCGGGGCAATGCCAGACACAAACCCCCCCTGGGAGTGCAATGGATGGAGAGCAGCCCTGGGGAGAAGGACCTGGGGGTGCTGCAGGGGGAGAGGCTGGACGTGCTCCGGCCGGGTGCTCTGGCCCCAGAACCCCCCGTGGCCTGGGCTGATCCCACAGGGATGGTGGGCAGCAGGGCAGGGGGGATCTACCCCTCTGCCCCCTCAGCTGAGACCCCCCTGCAGAGCTGCCTCCAGCCCTGGGCAACAGCAGCACAAGGACGTGGAGCTGCTGCAGAGAGTCCAGAGGAGGCCGTGGAGATGCTGCCAGGGCTGGAGCCCCTCTGCTCTGGAGCCAGGCTGGGAGAGCTGGGGGGGCTCAGCTGGGGAAGGGAAGGATCCAGGGAGACCTTGGAGCCCCTTCCAGAGCCTAAAGGGGCTCCAGGAGAGCTGGAGAGGGACTGGGGACAAGGCCTGGAGGGACAGGACCCAGGGAATGGCTGCCCAGTGCCAGAGGGCAGGGAGAGATGGGAGATTGGGAAGGCTGGGAGGGGGGGAGGCCCTGGCACAGGTTGCCCAGTTCAGGGATTCGCTGATCAGGGGTAAGAGGCACAGATCAGGTGGTTTCCAGTCAGGAGCCCCAGGTACTGCCCAGCTCCTGCTGCCTTTCACGGAATCATAGGATCACTAGGGTCGGAAAAGACCTCCCAGCTCATCGAGTCCACGTCTCACTGAACAACTTTTCATCCCAAATCAGGCAGCAGTTTCGTTTCTGCTGCAGAAAAACGCCTGATTTACAGGAAATCAGCAGCTGCCCCCCCCCGGCGCCGCTGAAAGGGGAAGCAGCAGCGCCCGCAGAGCCGGGGCTGGATCAGCAGAGGGGCTGCGCTGGGCTTCTCTCACCTCGGGAGCTCCGCGCACGGACGGAGACGGTAGGACCTTGGGGCTGAGCTGCGGGGCTGGGAGCCGGGATCGGCAAGGAGCAGGCTCTTGTTTGTCTTCTGCTTCCCATGCCGGGGGGTTCCCATGGCTGGGGAGATGCCAGGGAAGGAGCCCCTTCCCTTTGCAGCCCGTGCCCGGCCGCAGGCGGGGCCGATCCTGCCCGGCCCGGGCACCCCCAGCCCCAGGCGGGGTCCGGGGGCTGCGCTCCCCGAAGGCAGGACCGGGGGTGCTGGGGCCCTCCTGGGGCCGGGGGTGCTGCCTGTGCCCCGCGCCGCTCCTCAGGGAGCAGGGCAGCGCCGGGGGGGATGAGGGGCACTCCTGGCCCCTCCCGCTCCGGCCCCAGCCCGGGGGGGACACTTGGTCCTTTTCCTCCCGGGATTCCCCTCCCTTCCACTGGAAACTTCACCGCCCCCAGCGCTCTGGTCCCTGCTGCAGCCCCTCAAAGGCACAGGCGCTTCCAGAGCCCATTGCCCTGGGGAAGGGAGGGAAGTTGGGAGGGGACAGAGCTGGCACAAGTGCCCTGAGGGGACAATCTGCTTAAATGTTGCAGAAAGAACTTCAGACTCGAATATTCCCTTGAGCACAATTAAAACTCACACAGGTTATCTGCGTGAGGTTTGATACCAAAACTGATTTGATTAATTGCTAAGAGATGCAAAGAGAAAGAGGAAAAATTAAGAAAAGTTGGAAAATGCTAAGATTACTTCTCATCATCACTTCTAGAAGCAGAGAAAAGATACCACCAAAAACTACCTTTCAGCCGAGCTGGTTTTTGGGGCGGGGGCGGGGCGGGGAAGTGGTTTGCTGCCTTTTTTTTCTCTGTCTCTGCCGCTTTTGGATGCTATCTCTTCAGCTGCAGGGGGTGGGGTGGGAGTGGGGGTTTGAGGTTGGAGGTTGGAAGGCTGTGTGGGGGGTGTGTGTGTGTGTGTGTGTGTGTCTTGGCAGCTTTAGTTCTCTGCAATGCAGCCAGGAAGAGTGGTTTCACTGCTCACACGGAGCTGTGTCCCAGGCCGTGCAGAGTCCTGGTCCAGCTGCACATTTGGCCCTCAGAAATGTGGTCAGGGTAGGAGGATAAGATCTAACTCAGGCATGTGGCACGGTGGGTGTCAGTCCTCTCCAAGCCGGCAGGGTTCCAGTCTCTGGTGACAGGCAGGCAGCAGGCGGTGGCAGAAGAAAAGTGATAGGGAGGCTGGGGAGAGACTCTCAGCTGGGGGAACTGGTTCTCTCTCTCCCTTTGCTCTCTCCCGGATTTTCCCAAGTAGCCCCATTCAGATGTTCGAAGAGATATTTTTGGTAGGAAGTTTTGACAGACAGAAACAATGGCAAAACCTTATTTTTGGCATTTCTATGTTACCTGTGTGCTACAGCCTGAGGGCACAATATCCAGCAGGTGCCTTCCCGAGCAGCCACCCCACACCCCGAGGCTCTGCTGCCCAGGGAGCAGCTGCACATCTGCCCCTGAGGGGAATCAGGGGCTGAAGACCCTCCCTTGCTCTGCCAGCACACCCAGTTTTCCTCTGCTTCCTCAACTCCCCTGATCTCCCCAGCCCTTTTTCTTCCTTCTGCTTTTCCCCTACTCCGCCCCATCCCACTGGTGGGAGTGCAGGAGCTGCTGGAGGCTCTTCCTGGAGCCCCTTTAGGCTCTGGAAGGGACTCCAAGGTCTCCCTGGATCCTTCCCTTCCCCAGCTGAGCCCCCCCAGCTCTCCCAGCCTGGCTCCAGAGCAGAGGGGCTCCAGCCCTGGCAGCATCTCCGCGGCCTCCTCTGGACTCTCTCCAGCAGCTCCACGTCCTTGTGCTGCTGTTGCCCAGGGCTGGAGGCAGCTCTGCAGGGGGGTCTCAGCTGAGGGGGCAGAGGGGCAGATCCCCCCTGCCCTGCTGCCCACCATCCCTCTGGGATCAGCCCAGGCCACGGAGGGTTTCTGGGCCGGGTCGTGTCCGGCCTTTCACCCACCAGCCCCCCAGGTCCTTCTCCCCAGGGATGCTCTCCATCCAGTCCACTCCCAGCCTGTCTTTGTGCCTGGGATTGCCCCGACACAGGGGCAGCACCTGCCCTTGCCCTTGTTTACCTTCAGGGGGTTGGCACTGTCCCACCTCTCCAGCATGTCCAGGTTCCTTTTGCAGGGGAACACGGATTTAGGGCCCAGGTGAAAGCCTGCTCTGCTCCCCACCCCACAAAGGCCCTGGGGACTCTGCTGACGGGGTAATCCCCACTGCAGGAGAAGGGTTGGCCTCCACTGCTCCCTGCAATCAATCCTCCACGTTGCTGGGTTGCCATCTCCTGACTCTCAGCTCTTCTCCTTTAGGATCTGGGGCCTTTCCTTCCCGCTGCTCTTCCTCCGGAATTCTCCAGGGAGTTCCCATCTTCTCCACCTGCCGCCGTGTCCCCCAGGCCTGGGCTGTGACGGTGCTGTGTCCCCTGAGCTGGGCACCTTGGCTGCCCGTGTCCTCTGGGCACTCAAGGCTGGGACCAAGAGGAGCATCTGCTCTCAGGTGGGTGAGGTGACTCAGAGCCCACGGCCAGGGCACAGGTTGCCTCAGTCTGCACTGGCCTGAGAGGGAAAGCTGACACTCAAGGCTCTGCAAGGCTCCAGGAGCCCAGTGCCAACCCCTGGGAGCCAGCCCTGGCTTGGGGAGGGTCTGGTGTCCCTGCTGGGATGGAAGCTGAAGGCAGGGGAAGGGTTTGTGCATGGAATCAACCTCTCCAGGATCCAGCTGAATTGAGACAGAGACACTTCTCAGGTTTGTGGGACCGTGTAGAAAACCCCAAAGGTGTAAAGGCAGGAGTCCAGGGAGAGCACCAGCTGCGTTAGGGTGAGAATCAGGGAATCACAGAAGGGCCGGAGTGGGAAGGGACCCACAAGGATCCTGGGAGAGATGGAAAGCTTTACTGAAATCCAGAAAGCTTCCATCAACTGTCTTCCCTTGATGGGTTATTGTGGAGAAAAGGATATTCGGTTTGACGAGCAGCACATTCCCCTCAGGACCCCGTGCTGGCTGTGACCAGCGACTGCCTCGTCCTGCAGGGGCTTTTCAATAACTCCCAGAAGAACCTTCTCCACAATTGTACCAGGCACTGAAGGGACACTGCCAGGCCTGTAGTTCCCAGGGTCATCCTTCCTGCCCATCTTGAAAACTGGGACAATGTTCCCCAGCTCCAAGCGCTGCCTCTGTGTGCTGGGAGCACCAGCTGGAGCAGCCGGCGAGCGGGAGAGCCCTGTGCTGGGAAGAGGGCACAGGATGCAGGCAGGGGGGTGGGA